AATACACTGACCGTAGGAGTAGTATTAGGTACGGACGATGGAGGGTAGGACTAATACTATTAGTTCTATTCTACTATAGTCGTTGTCGTAGCGAATATATATATATATATATATATATATATATATATATTTGTAAAACTGACCGGTTAGATCGAAACCGACTAGCGGCCAGTTCTAGTTTTGGCCTGTTTTGGTGATTAACTAGTATTTTAAACGTTAAATAGATTAATACTTCCGATTCATATCAAATATATTTGAATAGTTATTGGTTACCATTGACTATCAGCTAATATTTATTGCCCATTAGAAGAGTCGAGCTAGAATCATCGTTGTTTTCTTTTTCAGAATTGGTTCATAAAACCATGTCGTTTGGTTCAAAAATATTTATTTTCCCACTAGAAGAGTCGAACAAGAATCCTTTTTTCAATGAAGTCCTTTATTACTCGACACACTAACCAATATGCTATTAATTACATAATTGATAAAAAATTTATATTTCCTATCTTTTTCAAAAAAAATTAAAAATATCCCTAAATACAAATCGACTCGTTAAAATCCATTTTTTCATTAATTTTCAACTTCATTTGAGTGTATCTTTTTTTAATTACATTCTTTATATGTTTTTCATACTGTAGTAGAATTTTTTTGTACCTTTTTTTTTTTTAACACTTTTTATTGTTCAAGACTTGCCCGATTAAAGAGGTTGAAACGGCCGATTTCCCGGTTAAGCTAGTTAAATCGCTTCCAGACCCATGTCCGGTTAACCGTTCCGGTTCGATTTTACAAACATATATATATATATTTTCAAATTATACAAGGAGACACAACTCGATTGATATATATATATATATAATATGATATATTATATTATATTATATTATATATTATCTTTTAATAAATATTATATTGTAATATAATACATTTTATTATATAATATGTAATATATAATATATTTTATTTATATAATAGATATTTACAATACATTATATATTATAAACTATTTTATATTTAATATTTAAACCATATTTAATAAATAATATTTAAATAAATATAACTCTATGTTCCAACAAGTTGTCAAACACAAGTACCTATAACTTCTTTAAATCAAAGACACCCAAAACTTTTTTCAAAGATCTTTCTTCCCAACAAACAAAAACTTCCAATTCTAAGAAATATTTACCTTTCAATTATCAAAATATTTACCTTTCAATTATCAAACACGGCATTTAAGTATACCTATTTTGACTTTCTCCATATTATTGTGAATAAAGGGAGGTAGCATGAGTTGTCGATATCTGAATAAAGAAAAGTGAGGCTTTATAAGTATCAACCTATGAAATGCAATAACCAGAGAAACATTGAGTTCTTGGACACTTTGTGCCTCGTTTTTCTTTTGATCAGAGCATCTTTAGAAAGCTTAAGCTTGAGTGAGTCATTTGATTTCGTTTTGGGTTTTTCCCCTCGTACCATATTTTCCATTTTCCCCAATGTTTCCCATGCTTGGCGAATACCAGAAGCTCGAAGCTCTGAGAAATATTGCGAATTGCTCTATTGTTACCGTTGGTCCGTAGTGTATCGGTTATGTACCTAATTCGTCCAATTCCAAATTCATGTTAGAGAGAGAATCGGTTATGTACCTAATTCGTCCAATACCAAATTCATATTAGAGACAGAATGAAACTGATTTACCTACCATGAGTTACAGGGCCGACCCAATTAGTTATGAAAAAGCTTTGACGACGATGTATATGCAATATGGGCGCACCCTCTTTTCTATACAAAGCAAGAGCAATAGACTCCTAATTATCATCTATCCAACACGAGTACTCTCACTTTCTCCACACCAGAAAGCCTCTCTCACCCCACAACCAAGGAGGCTGCATCTCTCTCCACAAAAAAGGAGGCTGCGGTTCAGCTGCTGCAAGGGTGTACTAAGTCCTTCATATTCCCAAGGCATATGTACTCAATGCCCATGAATCCAAAGCAAGCAGGGACACATACAAGCATTGATTGGAGTAGGATCTCCAAACTGCTAATTAAATAGTCCAATATAATATAAAAAATATTATGAGTCCAAGATTGTAAATGATTAAACACAACTCTCACCTTCACTCTCTCCGTCGTTTCTTATTCTTCAGCACATCCCCATCAACGATTGCACACACAAGGGCCCTCTCACACGATGGGGAAGAGAGAACAAACAAAAAACCAGCAAATCTCCGCCTCTCAATTGTGTGCAGCGGTAACCACCAATGACATGTGCTCAATCAGATCAACCACCCGGTTGCTGCGAGAAAAAAGCATCATTACTATTCTGCATTTGCATGTACTTTCAGAGTATTTAAAGAAGGGCAAATCCTAAGCCACGGAATCTCTAGGATTAAATCATTACAATGTTGGTCAAAGAATTTATGAATATAGACTGTTCAACTTAAACTACCTCCTCAAGAATTTTGTAAAAGAGCAGAAATGTAATTGATTAAAATTTTAATCCTCAAAAGGGGTATTTTAGTAAATTGGTCGGGGCCATATCAACAAATGCTTCGATAGTTCCAGATTTGAAACCCGGAAACAAGAGATTCATTAGCAAAACACATGTTATAGCTCAGAATCCAGAACATGCAATGTTTCGTCATTTAGCTTGCACCATCAAATGGAGGGCCTAACTCCATTGGAATAAAAAATTGGGAAAATTACAAATACCTTCTTATGCAACTTAAACCCCACCAAACCTTTTTCTCACTTTTACCCCAAATTTAATTTTTCTTAGCAAATACACTCCCAAGACAAAAAAAGCAAAAAGAAGACCAAAATACTCTCTAGAAAACATGCAGTCCAACATAAAATGAGGGCGGTCCAACACTTTGCTTCTAGAAAGTATGCGGTCCAGCACAAAATAAGGACGATTTAACTCTTTGGGCTTTCAATCCGGCACAAAATAAGAGCGGTCCGGCACTTTGGGTTTCTGGAAAGAACACAGTCCTACACAAAATAAAGGCGGTCCGACACTTTGGGCATGAGGTCTAACACTATGAGCATTTTCGTAAAAAAAAAAACTTCTTTGACTCGAGGGTATTTGCTAGAAAAGCTCAATTTGGGGTAAAAGTTGCTTAAAAAGACTTTGTTGGGGGCAGATTGTCTAGAAAGTCTCTTTTGGGTTTTTTTGTAATTTGTCCTAAAAGAATAAGTGACTTTTCAAAATTTCATATTTTTTAGATTGTTTCTGATATCCAATCTTTAAATCTGGTATTTTTTTTTTTTTTCTTTTTTTTTCTTTTTTTCGAGTGAAAGACTAATTCAGACATTGGATGTTAGAATTAGAGTGTTGTAATCAGGCCAGTTAGGATATCCCTGCCTTTTCATTCAAAAATAAAAAAAGTAAATAGCAGGGTCTGGAAATTCAACATTCCAACCCAGCCATTAGTCAACTTTTATGAGCAAACCAGATAATAGATTTCCCGACCCACCCACACTTAGAAATAAATATGAGTGGATGAGTGGGTTCAGATACCTGTCACCCTCACACATTTCTCTAATCCTTTCACATACACACACAAAGCCAAGTAGCCGTGTTCATACATTGGATTTCCAAACCGGCTTTTGCTTCCTTTTTCCTTGAGTGAAAGACAAGCTTAGCCATTGGATATCCGATTCTTTCACTTTAAAAAAAAAAAAACCACATTTAGACAAGGAAAAAGTTTATATAGAGCCAAGGCCCTGAATAATCACATTAGAGCCCGTCTCAAAACTCTCATTAGAAGAGGTTGTTTTGATGCCCAAATATCTTCAAATTGATCATCTCGCAATCAAGATGCATGGACACGAGAAAAAAATGGATTTCAAGTTTGGAAATAGTGCATATTGTAATGCATTTTTGGACCATCAATTTTCAAGATTTTTAAGTTTTCATAAGTCTGCTCGATCTACACTATTTTTGAAGTTTTAAATTTTATAATTAAAGATGAAAATATATTTTAAGGCTATCACAAAGATTTCCAGTATTGAAACTACATTTCTCGACATTATTTGAAGGTACACTTTACTTCGATTGTTTAGAGCCTCGGCTCTATACAAACCACACCTTTTAGACAATGGATGTCTATGCTGGGGGTAACTTTGGGAACAAAAAATATTGCCAAAAAGTGAAAATACTATGAACTAATTTTAAATATCGAAGTAATGAATTTTTTCTCTAAATTTCTCATATAAGGAAGCTAGGTCAACTTGCTTGAGCTTCTATGTACAAAACTTAGGGACCCCTCCCCCCAAACAAACCATATCCAACATGTCTACCGCTAAGCCAATGCCTAAGAGACAATTAAAGTAATCAAATGATAATCGGTCGGCCAGTATGAGCTTTGTGGCAAAGTTCAAAGATTCGAACCAATGAACTCTGTCACCCAAACCAACATCTCCAGCACTAAGCCGAAGCTTGAGTGGAGATACTACTAAGCCGAAGCTTGAGTGGAGATACCTCTCATTATGAAGTGGCTGTTAGCACATTACGAGTAAGCCTTTTCGGTAGGAGACATGAAAATGAGAATGGCCGAGAGTAGAGAATGCATACCTGTAGCCCCATTCATTGTCGTACCATGAAACGAGCTTCATGAACGAAGTACTTAAGCCAATGCCAGCCTTTGCATCGAAGATGCTCGACCTGCATATGAAAAGAAGACAACAATGCGTAAGTGACAAATATTTGTTTTGGAGAAATTTATCAAAACATATGTAAGACCCGAACGTTTTGACATGTCATTCAAATTCTTTTATCTAATTCAAACAGCATATTATCAAATTCCGAATAACTCATTGGACGACACACCATCATGGGTCACAACTTTTTGAAAATTGTAAAAACTTTATTGGAGGGAGACGTGTTAAATAGCTGATCTCTCAAGTATGATTTGATAATTTCCCTTTTTAAAAAAATAATCTCGAATTTTCAATGTAACTTTCAAGAAGTCAGAGAAAAAAGTTAAATATATTTTTAAGAAAAAATAAGAACCAAAACATTAGGAAGTAAGGTAATTATATTTTTATAAAGATAGATTCCTCTTTTCATAGACTGAGACTTCTCAAGTGAACTTACCTACATTTAAGCATAATTTATTTCACCAAAAACCATGGAAGTATAGGCAAAGGAAAATGAAATAATCCCACAACATTGAATAAAATCTCAGGGCTGCAAAAATCCCAAGGCACGGAAAGAACTCCTGACCAATTCTAAAGGCTCCCACCTCAGAGGAAACAAGGCCCTAGACCCGAACCGACCAGTTCTTAGTTGGACTAAGCCAAGCTTTCGAGCCCCAGCACAAGGGTAAGGGCAAGGGGTAGACAAAGGAAATGATGACAACAATGAATCATAAAATAATTGATACAAATGATGGTGAAAATAAAGGCCCCTGGGAGGGAGCACGAGGTTGACATGAGAACGGGTTTTGGAATAGCCTTAGGGACTTTGAGTTACAAAGGACTACCAAGTTAGCCAACCAGCAAAGTCATTCGTAAACGGTTATGGAGATAGTTGGGATGAATTTGAGCCTCTCCATCACTTGTATTAGCTTTTGATTGGGTGATTTAACTGATATATTTGCAATGTTTAAACTTGAATGTTCCATATGAAACTCATTATTGTTAAACGCGACTGTTGAATGAATGTCTAGACTCTAGCACCATGCCACATAAGACCCTTGGTATCTATCTATCATCATCATCGGAGCCTTATCGAATCATGTTCCCCCATATTGTTCTATCAAAGGTCATAACTTCAATCAGACCATAAGTCACCATACCTCTTTCACTACTTCCATCCATGCCCTTTTGAGCCTCCCCTTGCCTTTTTAGAGCCTTCCATTTGAACCAAATTGTTACTCCTGACCGGTGCTATATTAGATCTATGCTGCACATAGCCAGCCCACCTAAATCTATTTTCCCTCGTCTTATCACCCATTGAAGCCACCCCTAAGTTCCCCCGTAAGTATTCATTCCGAGTTCTATCTTTTTTTGTTTTGTCACTCAATTTATCTCAACATGCTCATCTCAGCTACATTTATCTCATTAATATGCTATTTCTTGACCACCCAACATTTTGTCCCATAAAGCATGGCTGGTCTTACAGCTGTCCCATAAAACTTCTTGGCATCTATAATTTTCAATTTTTTCATCATTAATACATGATACTTCTATCATTTCCTAATATCATATTTTTCTTTTTTTTGAAATTTTTTATATAAAATATTTTTTGTCCTTTTTTTGCTGAATCAGCCAGACTCGCAAAGCTGTCTCAATCTGGGCCATGCAGGAGTCTGTAAGTCGATTCCGACTCTAAAAACACGATATTTATTTGTCTTTTCTACTCAGTTCTTGAGAAATTGGAAAAAATGTAGAAAGAAATTACTGAACCTTACTTTTTATGTTCCTTTTTTTTACTTTGAACCAATAATTACATTTAAGGATCAAGTTATCTTTCCAAAAACATGAAATTATACTAGAAGGAAAAATGAAGGGAAATCATATGCTATCAAGGGAAACATCTTATTTTTCAGAAACATAGCTATATTTAATCAAATCTTCAAAATAAAAAATAGAATATAGAGATAATTGTAGCTGTGCACCCAAATAATAGATTTAGAACCAAATTATCTACCTTGTATCACCGATAAAGTCACTGGAGACAACATCCTCATCTGTGTATCCCAGGATGCCTCTCATTGGCCCCTCTGATGCAATCCTGGATACCCACTTCAACAAATGAGTTTTTGCATTTCCAATTCTTAAAGCATTGAACTCAAAAAGATAGTAATTATTCTCTGTTTTTTGTCATGAGATATTAGTACTGGTAAAGAGTTGAAAGCATACCTAATGGCTGTTTTGACATCCTCATAAGAAGCGGGTTTCTCAAGGCGACATGTCAAGTCCACAACCGAGACATTTGCTGTTGGGACCCGGAATGACATTCCAGTGAGCTTTCCATTTAATTCAGGAAGAACCTTTCCTACAGCCTAAAAGATCAAGCAAGTGAGAGAACAAGGCAAGATCACTCACGTCTAAGTGGCAAAGTGATGGTCAATTGGGCATGATATGTTATGTTCAAATATAAAGTGCAGAATGCACCTTTGCAGCTCCTGTGGTGCTTGGAATGATGTTCTGGCCAGCACCCCGACCTCCACGCCAGTCCTTCATTGACGGACCATCCACAGTCTTCTGGGTTGCTGAGCATGAGAAACCAAATTATTTGTCCAAACGGTCCATGAATGGAGTGGGTTTTTTGTGTGTGTGTGTGTGTATGTGTGTGTGTGTGTGTATGAGAGAGAGAGAGAGATAGAGACCTGTGGTTGCATGCACAGTAGTCATTAGACCTTCGACGATACGAAACTCCTCATGCACAACCTGCGAGATATTGTAGGGGAAGAAGTGAGTTGTCCATGTTAAGAAGCCAAAAGAAACTCAAAGCATGCATAAAGCACACAAACAAAGCATGACTGTAATATGATGGAAAAATTATCCTGATTTTTTCCTTACAAGTTAATTACTGAAAACCACCAAACTAACCAGCATGACATGATTAGCAAATCATAAAAAAGAAAAAGCCAATACAATAAGCGAGTCTAGGCAGAAAATCCAGACCTTAGCAAGAGGAGCTAGACAATTGGTAGTACAGCTCGCATTTGATACAATGTCCATGCTTGGCTTGTAATTTCTTTCATTTACTCCCAGCACAAACATAGGTGCATCGGCGGATGGTGCAGATATCACCACCTTTTTGGCCCCACCCTATGGCAGCAGGAGAATCAATGGATAATGAGAGCTCATAAAGAGGAAATAAATATAAAAGAAGAAAAAGGAACACTTTTCTATTTTAACGAATTTAATACAACAGCAATCCAAAAAAAAAAACTTAAAAATATAGTATTTTGGGAGCATGGAATGACAAAAAACCTTAAGATGAGCGGAAGCCTTCTCCAATGTGGTGAAAACCCCAGAGGCTTCAACAACATATTCTGCTCCAAAATCACCCCAGGGAATCTCTTTTGGATCCCTGCAAAATCGTATTAATTTCCCATATCAATTGCTGGGTAAAACAATTTTCAAATACCTTAAATTCACTTGACATACAAAAGCCAGAAAAAACAAATTCAACAATAACTGAAAGACAACTACATGAGCATCATGACCATCCTGAACCTATAAATGGGCAATATAATCCATGAAAAAGAAGGAAAAAATACATGGCGTTTCGCATTGTCCTCTATAATATTATATATATATCTAAAGGAAAAGGTTTCTATACTTCCCCTACAGCATAGAAGATCTATGCTTCCCCTACCATCCAGCCGCCTAATTTTGATCAAGAGAGCCACTCACCATTTGATCTTAGATCCAACGTCTCAAAGTATTTTATTTTTAGTTTTTTTTATAAAATTTTATGAATATGAAATTTTGTATGTGTCATCTTCTTATTGGGGCGCACCTATAAAAACTATTAAAATAAATTTTTGATAAAATATAATGACCAAAATACCCCTTGAATCTTTCAGGGGTATTTGGGTCATTTTATTTTATTGGAAATATTTTTTATATATTTTTCGCTAGTGCGAGTTTAATAGAGGAATGGACGTCCAAAATTTGGTGTCAAAATAGTTTATGGAAAAAAAATTAAAAATAAAATAGTATAGAGATGTGACATGTGATTGGGCAATCTTAGCCCTCTATTCAGAATGGAGGGTTGGATAAGGGGAAGTATATGAGTTTTATGTTGTAGGGTGAAGCATAGAAAGCTTGCCCATATCTAAAAATAACAAAAATAAATAAATATTATAGGCTTACTCTTCCTTATACCAACATCAGTGCAGTTATCCTTTACCTCCCTAAAACCATCATCCAAAAGACCAAATACATGACGGCAACCGTAATTGCAAAACTCAAAAACTTCCATTTGTAGCCTCAACCAAATATTCTAGCATATACTGAGGTCCCTAAAGTCGAGACAACAATCATGCTCTTGTAGGAGTTTGGCCTTTCCCGTTAGAGGTAAGGGCCATATAAGGAAAGCTGCATTAATGATCCGTGTTTGAATCCCAACTTGCCCATCCAAAATGCAAAAAAATAAATAAGAAGAATACAGCTTGCGGTTCAAAATCAAATATCATATCTGAAATCAAGACGGACGGCTCTAAAAAAATTATGTTTACAACAAAGACAAAAAATCTAACCAACTTTACCTTTTGCATGTAACTGTGATCCTTTTCCCATTGATTTCCAATGTAGAGTCATCCACAACTTTGATTGTTCCCTTAAAAACGCCATGAGTTGAATCATACTTAAACATGTAGGCCTGCATAAAAAGAATACGGCTATATCAAAACTTATAGCTACATCAAGGAAACTAAATAAACTAACTTCAAGGCAAAATCTCAAAGTGGATATGAATTGGTGGTTTGCTGCATCAAATATAGTTTGAATACGAAGGGAAAGAGTGAGTAAAGTTTGTTAGGAGGACAAAAATAATACAAAGGTTGCCATAAATTTATGTGCTTAAAAGAAGAAACCTACGTGATGTGATTATACATTTCTCCTCAAAAAGAAGCAAGTGCATTCATCATATTTTCTGCCATATTTTAGCGATTGGCATGACCAAAGGGCAAGAAGTATACTCTTCTCAATGTTATTACAATACTTCAAACAGCATAGTAGTAAAGTCAGTATCTTGCTGATAAAAAAATAAAAAAAACAAATTAAATATAATATTGTACATCTCTAAAAACCAGCCAATAATCCATAGCTTGCATTGAAGTATGTGGATCCTTATATGTTATGCCAAAGTCAACTACACACCCAAACTAAAACTAAGGCTCCAATCCGTTTGGAACAATATTGCAACTCTTGAGCATAATTTAGCATGCGACAAATGAAATGGCAAATTCATAATCATTTTCCTTCCCTTGACCAAGTTGCATCTAGGTTCCCGCGCCTGGCTGCCAGCCGAATTTTTTGATGATGTGCCAAAGGTACTGGAAAGATCATAGATATTCATGACAAGCATTAAGACAAAATATGGTATTCTAGGATATATTAGAAGTGTTCTACACCATCAAATGTGAAATAAATGGCAATATAGTAAACTGTCAACGTAAATGCCGAAGATCTATACTTGGGGAAACTTCCTTGGGAAGGGACCGTCCTATGTTTCCACCAATTGCCCCAATTGTAATGTCATCATGGGTACACTATCGTATGTCCATCAATACAAAACCACTTGATCAACAGATGTACTTCCAGCCTCCAGGCCTCCACCTAAGAAAAGTATATCTAAAGAGAGCCGCCTTGCAGGCTCTAAATGTAGAGCAGGTATAAACATGTAAGTTACACCTAAGAAGGCTGGTTAGACATGGCAATGAATTCTTCCAACTATGCTACATGGTACATCAAGATAAATTTATCGATATTGACATTATTCACACACCCAAAGGAGTGTACTGGCATATTCTAGTTGTGGATGACAATCCTGTAAGAATTGCCCATGCTTTGCAAGAATAGAAACCTAATCATGGAATCATAATCAAACATTAAATGATATTACATCTTTCAGAAAACATGAAGAAAGGAACAGAAAGATTCTAGAGGAAATCCAAATCCTGTCAAAACAACCATGGAAATAAACAAGTATACCAGCCCTAACCATTCTATGCCACAGAGCACATAGGTAATAGGAAAATGAGCATAGAACTCCAACCACTAACTATCCAAAGCAGGCAGTAAGACAACATTGATAAGCAATAAACTAGATAAACAAGCTCATAGACCAACTCTATCTGCATGACACCTCTATCGATAATGTAGATACCCTCCTGGTAAGCGAAGTGTCAAATATACAACTTTCCACCAAAGTAACCTGCTTAAATTTTGAAATCCAGCAGAATACAGTCCTCTGCAAATCTCAAGGAAAATGCACAGAAGGATGTACATAATATCTCATGATAAATAGACAGAAATTTCACTATCTCCAAGGAGAAAAACCCATGAAGCAGGATTTAAATCTCGCAAATCAAGCCATTGATTGGGTATATGTAGTAATTTACATAAAATTTTCCATTGAAGGAATGTCATTTAAAGATTTGAAAGCTAGCTGAAGCTGCTGAACACACTCTTTCATGGAAAACTTCCATGGAAGTACACTTACACAGGAGAACATCAACCACAGAGGTATTTCATAGTACAAATGGCCCCAGATTTCACAACTGCAAAAGAGAAAAAACATTGTACCTAATCCGACTGGTGGTGTTCATGAGTTGGCTCAGCATTTGGATGAGAATTCAGTTAGCTAAGATCTTGCTCACTCATAAGTTACAAAGATCACGATGTCTACCTAAAGATTCATCTTTTGATCTTTCTATGCACAATGGTAAACAAAGCAATGCTTGTGAATGTAATGCAAAGAGAAGAAATACTACTCACCATGTACTTTGCATCAATGAAAGGATCATTGACGGCCACAACCTCAACATCATCCCTCTTGGTAGCCACACGTAAGACCAGCCTTCCAATTCGACCAAAACCTGTAAACCGAGTACATAGACTTCATATTGTACGGTTTATACAATGCAAATGTCTTCAGCTCATTGAAGGAGATAGCATTAGAATACAATCTCTTTCTAACAGACAAATTCAAAAAAAAAAAAGAAAAAAGTAAACTGCAATAAATGAGTATAGGCATGGTTAGCAACCACATGAATTGTTGATAAATGCCGTATCAGAATAAACTGGAGCTGCATGTGCCAAAACCTCATTTTGGGATGAAATTCACTCTTTTGTAGCTCATGAATCAGAAGCAGGATAGGGATTAGGAGCGGGGGATCGTGAAAGACTAGCAGATCCCTATGATTGGGATTGTTGTCAGTGCAATTTATATGTTAGGGATCAAGATCCCTATCCATGTAGGGATCTCGATCCCAACCTTTTGGGGAGCTTGATCCCTACCTTTTGGGATCTCGATCCCGGCCTTTTACAGACCCCTAGCAGACTACAAATATTTCTTAGTGGCAGTAAGAACAAGGGTTCTATAAATATTTAATAGAGCTTTTCTCGAAAAGAGCAGGCAATTTTTTGTAATAAGTAGACCTCAAATCCTAAAATGTGGGTACTCTGACTTTAGGAAGATCGAGGTATTCCTCTTTTCTTTATCATTAGATTGAAGCATTCCTTACATGAAAGAACATAAATCACTGTTATCCTCAAAGCTAGTTGGCATGGGGTTCTATGAGAAGCCTAAGACTCAAGCACAGGACATTAGGCTTTTAAAAACCATCTTCTACGGCATGAGTACGGTTTCATGCATACATATGTAAATCATATGCATAAAAACATGCATGCAACATAAACATATCCATACAAACATATCTTGGCATATAAAGGCATGCGCATATATATGTATATGATGCCCATATAGGGGTACTGATAAGGGTGCAAATTGGTAGTAGGGGATACAACTTGAATTTCTCAAAATCCAGGACATGGATATATATACGAATATCTTTTCTTTTTTCTTTATTTTTTTCTTTATTGATGGATGCGTACTGAAACAAATATCATATCTAAGATATCTATAAGTAACATTTATTTTTTGGTATATATAAATATATACATCCAACACATTTGATACATGTATATCATATAATAATGCACAAGACTATGGTGTACAGATTGCATATTAATTATAGTTATGTCATTTTATACTTACAAGTATCCTAGAAGTATCCAATACCAGCATCAATGTCAGCACAATATGATACCAGCATGTTTGTGCCTGCATACAAATTTATGCACAACAGCACAAGTATTTACATGTATATCTATAGGAATAAGGTATACATACATAAACTTGTGCTTTCATATATGCATAGTACATATACACAGGATCAACTACATAGAATTGAACCAAAGATCTGTCATGTGTGGAGGGAACTGTTCTGCAAATTGCAAAGTGCCAAAATTTCTCTGGTAAAAATAAAAAATGGCCAAGACTAATGGTATGGTACAATGTCAGGTCTCTACAAAGAACTGAAGGGTGTGCATCCAAGGAAAGCGGTGATTGTGGCTTTAAGAGGTCAGGCATCAGCGAAAGGTGGAAATGTTATGGATATTAAGCAGACAAAAATCTCTAATCTTGGGCGAAAGGAGAGAGAAAGAAAGGGAGTGAGGTTGGGTAACACCTTGCATTCTCTAGTGTTGTTGCATTCTCTAGTGTTGCTGAATGAAGGGTACATATGCAAGGATATGGACATGATGGCAGAAGAATATTCGAATGAAAAAAACAACAGTTGAATGCAGAAGAAGGAGAAAAGGGCAGAGGAGGAAACCAAATATAATACATAGGGTCCAAAGAGAAAGCAGGAACGAGATATACCAGCCAAATTTTGTATCTAAAATATGCAATAGAATGCTTAAAAAATAAAATAAAATTGGCCAAGTGGATTTTAGAACAGCCGGTACATAGAAACAGACAAACTCGTGTTAGAAAACACAGTTTAGACTGACTCTAGCCAGCCCACACTATAGGTCGCAGCTACCCACTTCTTACCAATTTTTAACAAATCCATTCAAGATCAGCACAAAAAAGCAAGGCCGCATCAACAATGTAGTCATTCTTGCCTTGGTCTTGTTTGAATCGTAATTCATGTAATACCTAGAATGCAAGCACCCAATAAAGTGGAGTCTACCAATATAGAGTGTGCTCCAACTTGTTACCTAGCATTTTATCAAACTGGAAAACTAAAGCAATTCAAATCAAACACAATCAAGATTTCCACGAATGCTACAACTTCAAAATTAACATTGATAGTCTTACTAATCATAAACACAGACTTGCCAGATATAGTAATTTAAGTAAACTCTATACTAGTCTACAGAGACTCTTTTTGCATTAGCAAATCATTGAACGTTTAAACCCAACTCACTCTAAAAAGACATTTATTTCTGAGGATACTAGCACTAGCACATATCAACAATCTCATGAGACAACTTTCAGCTTTCAAATTAAAAATTAAGGGAATATGATAAACACGTAAAAGTAAAAGTAAATGGGCTATTCAAAATTTCAGGAAATAATAACGCATACCATTGATCCCAATTTTAGTTCTCGGACCAGTTGACGATCCTAGCAAAAACAAAAACTAAAGCTCAAGACAAGAGCACAAATTGAATGCTCTAAATAGATTAGACAGGGAAAAGAGAAACACTTGCACATCCATCCAAGATTTACAGAACTAGAATAGCATTTTCCTTACTGTGAATTGTGGGAGGAGCCTCAGTAGCTGTGGACTTAATGTGCTGTACATTTCTAGCACCCTGTGCTCTGCACAACTCTAAAAGAGTAAGTATGGACAAAGTAAATCGATATAATAATTCTAAAAAAAATCAGAGCCAAATGATTCAAATTTTTTGTATAAGATAAACACCAATCACAAAATGAAGACAAGCAAGTCAATTGAAGCGAAATATATAATACCAAGTGCGAATTAATTAGCAAATCATCAGGGACCAAACAACTACCACACTTTGAAGAGTGATAGAATACTTAACCGCAATGTGTACCCCTGCTTAACAATTGATCCAAAAATTCTCAAGCCATGGTTACCATCAGAACAGGGCACCTGTCACAGAGAATCAGGCAAAGGACAATCAGTTATTGCATACAACCACATTCAAACAAACTCATAATCATGAACAGCACACGAAAAATTAAGGAACTACGGCATGTTTTGAACAACTGTACCATTCAAGAGATAATTAGCAACAAAAAAAATCCATAAAACTAAAAAAGAAACAGAAAATAACCATAGAATAAACGTTGAAGAGAAACAAGTTACAGCCCTGTTCCTATCATACAAAGTTCAAGGAACATTGAAAGGCCTTAAATAAACTAAATATCTAAAAATAAATAAAGCAGGAAAAAAAAAAAAAAAAGATATATATATATATATATATATATATATATATATAATAATCTATACTACAATACATCACTACTAAAATTTAGTTTCCAGTAGGAACGGTAAAAATAATTCGTCCTTAGAAAATATAGAACTACATATAGAC